TCTCTGCCTTCACCCCTGGAGCTGTGCAAGCGCTGGGCTGGCAGCTGGGAGCCTGAGGTGCTGTATGGGTGGCAGCTGGACAACCTGGGGCCCCGTCAGCATGTCCCACCCCGGAGCCAGAGATGGGACGAGGGGTTCATGGGGAGCGTGTTCCCATCCTCCTCCTGCTCCTGCAGGCAGGTACCGCACCCTGTCCACACGGCGGACCGGGACAAAGCAGGTTGCTAAAAAATGGTGCTGTTGTGTCATGAGCAATCTGTGTATAATAAAAATATTATTTGAGCAAATGAGTCAGGAAGTGTCTGGGCCGGTGTCCCAGGCTGGCGCAGCCAAATTTTTCTGGCCTTCTGTGGCGGAGCCGGGTGTTTCAGTCCTGCTGGCTCCGGCAGGCATTGCTACGACGGTGCGAGAGCCCTGCTTGCCTGTGGGCACTGAGGGTCGTGTTGTTCTCTCATCGCTTGTGGGGACGTGGCTCTGCAGCAGGTGGTTTTGTGTGCACGGCTGGAGGAGGCTGTGGGAGGTGTGCAGGCAGCCCCTTCACACTGTGCCTTGCTCCAGCAGTGCTGGGTGCTGGTGGCTTCCAGGGATGCTTCTTGCTGCTGTCCGTGTGCAGTAGGGAGCTCTCAGGAGGCCTCGGAGGAGCTGGAAGGGTGGCGGGTGTCTGTCCTGGGGCGCGTGGAGGCAGAGAGCCATAGCTGCCAACGTATGCCGGTGAAACAGGGCAGGTGCCGGTTCTCGAAGCAGCTGCTGGGTGCCCTGGCGCGTGGCACCATGCGGCTTGTCGGCTCCCCTTCCCTGCCGCTGCAGCCCCTTGCTCCGTGCCCGAGGGGAGAACAGTGAGCGGTGTTCCCGGGGCCGTTACCCCTGAGCAAAGCCACAGTGTCCAGCTGTGCGTGGAGCTGTGACTGGCAAAGTCTCGCTAAGCTGCTGGAGCCAAATTGGCTCATGAGGGAGGGGAGTGGAGGTGGCGGCTGTCTCTCCAAGAGCCTCCCAGTCCATGCCACCCACTCCAGAAGCTTCTGCGAAGGCGGTCTCATGCCGCAGCAGAGTGTTTCTGTGCGTTTGGGGGTAGCCCTTTGTGACAGTTGCATTCAGTGGAACTGATACACGGGGACGAGGAGGGATGTGCCTGGGGTTTTCCTTTGCTGCTTACCTGGGTTTTCTAGGTGGCATGAGGATACCCCCAATTCTGAAAGATCCTGCTTGCTCCTCTGCAGCGGGCCCGGGCTTCAGGCACAGTTGGGCATGTAGCCATCAGCCTGCTTCGTGTCCCAGGCACCTGCCAGTGGTCACCGTCATGCAGGACCCTTTTTGCCCCTTGTGTCATGTCAAACCAGCCGAATCCCTCGGCTTTCCTGCCACGATCTCCCCTACAGCTCCAGCTTCTGGACCTGTGAGCGATGGTGGTCTCGGCTGTGTTGCGGCCAGGGGCCCCGGGGCAGCTCCACCCCTGTGGAGGGACCCCGCTTTGTGAGCAATGGCTGGTGAAGGAGGGGGAGCTGGTGGTGGGGCTGGCCAGGTGTGCCGTGGCGATGGTGGTAGGTACCTGTAGGTGTGGGGCCAATGCCGGTGGTGCTCGCTGGGACACCTGGCCCTGAGGGAGCGGGCACATTGTCCTTTGGGGGTGTGGGGAGACCTGGAGGGGACCAGGAGGCTGATGTCCCATCCCATGGGGGAGCCGGGGTGGTGGAGCCATCCTCCATCACGGCTGGCATCCTGAGTGGTGACTGCTTGGTCTCTTTCTCCATGTCCCCTCGTCTCCCACAGTGGAGAACAGGCAGCTCACCCTGGACCTGCAGACAGAGAACAAAGGCAGCGTTGTCTCCGGCGGAGAGCTGACGATTTTCCTGGACGGGCCTGCTGTTGATCTGGGAAGCTTGCCTAATGGCAGTGCCGTGACAGAGGGTGAGTGCCGCCCGTCTCCGCATGCATGCGGTGGCTCTGAGCACGAGGCGGTGAGCAGTGGCGGGGAGAGGACTGGGGCTGAGAGCACGGCCCCCAGGACCTCTGAGCAAGCATCCAAGTGCTAGCAGCCACCTCCTCTCCCAGGTAAGGCTCTGGCCCCTGCCCGCCCCAGCTCTGGGCTTGTGCACGGGCTCCCATGGGAGCGAGCATGTGGTGGGACAGGAGCAGGAGCGTCGACAAGCTCACGCCCTGCCTCCTTGCCGGTGTGAGAGGAGCGGCCCTTCTCCGGGCCCTCCACCAGCCGCCCGTGCGCCTCAGCCCCTTCCCTCTCTGTCCCATGTGGGCTGGGGAAATGGCTTCTGTATTTAATGAACTGCTCAGAAAAGGACTTCCCATGGCAGAGGGTGCGTAGAGACGTGGACCGATGACTGACCCGTCAGGGCTGCCTGGGGAGCAAGCAGAGTTTGTGCTGGGCAGGGACTAGTGCGTTGCTTTCCCTTGGCTCCTTCCCTTCCTTTCTGGGAGATGAAGCCTGTGAAATCTGGGAGTCTTAAATGCAGCCGCTCTCCTGGTGCTGCCAGTTCTGCCAAGTCCTGCGTTTACGTTCCCTACTGCTGCGCTCAGAACCAGGGGGTGCTGTGGGGACAGGCTATGCTGTTGCACAGCGGTGGGAGAGGAGAGCACCCCAGCGTAAGGGCAGGGGGTCCTTGTGTGCTGGTGGGTCTGTCCTGCAGTATGCGGAGCTGTTGTGCTTTTGGGTCTCCTTTCTGGAAGGAGGGAGGGAAGGAAGGAGGCTAGAACTAGTGGGTGCCTCAGTCATCTTCTTCACCCACTTTTTCTCCGCTCATTCAGGGTCCCAGGTGCCTGGACGGGACCCCAGCAGCATGGCTGCAGCCACAGAGGGCAGACACCAGCCTCCCAGTACAAACTGCTTTGGAAGCAGACCAAGGTAAGGGTCCTGTGCTGGCAGCACCTGTCAGTCCGTTCCTGGGTGGTTGCTGCGGCTGTGAGGCAGCTGAGAAGTGTCTGGATCATCCTTGTGCGGTGGACCCCACTCCAGATCTCCCAGTGAGCCCCCAGCAAAGCAGCCCATAGGAGGTGTGGAGCAGGGGTGGGCTGGCCCACCTGGAGGACAGCAGAGCTGGGAGGTGCTGAGGGGTGGCCATAGAGCTGGGGTGCGGCTGACCTGAGTCTCTCTTAAAGTATTTGTTTCTCAAGGAATATCAGGTCTGTGATGGCCCAGAGAGTTTCCACCAGTTGCTCTACTGGCAGACGAGGGAGTGGTCTATCGGGGAAGTGTGGGGCAGACTGTGACTAGGCAAACCAGCAAAGGGCTAATCTGCGGGGGTCCCTTCAAATGGGGATTACGGGGACCCCAGCTCTTGCCTCGAGCACAGCCCTGGCCAGGCACTGGGCCAGGCTGGGAAGCACAGTGCCCGTCTGGGCGATGGTCACAGGGGGACGCTTCCGAAGGTCCAGGGAGAGCAGGAGAAGCAGAGCAAGCAGAGCTGCAGAGAAATAACAGCTGCTTCCAAAGGAAATGAGATGCTTGGGCACCAGGCCATCCTGTGCCTGGCACGGTGCCCTTCCTTGCCTTCTCGCTGGGCTGGAGTGGCTCAGCGCTGCTCCTTTTGGAGCTGTGGTTATCGAGAGACGTGTCACACTGTCAACATGGAGTTGAATTTAACACCTATTTATATTTCCAGAGCATGGCAGTGGCCCAGCAGCCTATACAGATGTTCTGGTTAGAAGTGTGCCTGTAGAGAGGGCGCCTGCACCCTGCCCAATACGAGGTTCTGCGTGCCCCCAGGCTTAGGAGCATTCTCAGCAACAAGCCCCACACCTTGAGCTCTTCTGCCCCTTCTTTATCTGCCAGGCACATACAAGAGATGAGCGAAGGGGAGAAACGTTTTCCGCTTGAAAAAGTGACCCTGGCCCTCCATATCACCTATTTATCTCCCACCCAAGGAGGGAGTGGGATGGGAAATTGGGACCAGATTGCTGAACACAGTTTGTGTCCTTTTCT